CAGAAAACCCAAAATAATAATTATAGGTGGGACAACCAGACAAGAAATAGAGGCGGGGCAATGGGAACAGGAGAATTCTGGGAAGAAGTAAGCTCTCCCACCAGTCCTGTCCAGACACTGAAGAAGCAGGATGTGACCTGCCCTGCCAAAAAAGGTACCGAGCCACGTGGCTAACATACACTAGAATAATGGGCCAAGCAGTGTTTTAATGAATACAGTTTCTGTGTGATTATTTTGGGGCTAAGCAAGCCGGGCGGCCAGGGTGAAAAGCAGGCCTTTATGTTACAGGACAGCGCCCAACAGTGCACACGTAGACAACTGCATCCACATAAAACCTGAGAGAGCTTGGGAAAAAAATTCTAGACAAAAAAAAAATAGAGTAAATCATGGCTTCTTGGTAGCAGCAATTTCTCAGATCTGCTCTGTTTGCTACAGGCAAATGCAGCTCATTAGGAGAGACTTCCTGACTCAGCTTTAGCTGCAAAACCCTGCATCTCTTTAAGGGATCCTGCCAAGAAACACTTAAATGGTGTTGATAAAAGCTGAATGCATGCTTTTTGGTTTTCAGCAATAGCAGGAAAAAAGCTGAGCCATTTTTAAATGCCAGCTTTCTGGGCCATCCTGCTAGTGCAAACTCTGACTCTTTGAGGCAGGAGGTTTGGCTACAGAGAGAGTATTTAAGTGTTGTTTGTGGACACACTGTTGCAGTTTGCTTGCTGGCAAGGACCTTGAAATGCCATAGAGTTGTGGCAATAAAAATGGCTCCAGCTGGTACCTCCACCATGATACTTGAATCACAGAAAGCTAAGGAATGGGATAGATTCAGCTGTCAAAGCCACAGCTTTAATCCTATCCATATTACTTAGTAAATTAAAGACTCATGTAGTCAGAAAAAGAGGGAGAGAGAAACACAATAAAGAGAGATTCAAAGATGAAAAAGCCTCTAAATGGTTTACCGTGTGTTTAAAAATATATGCAAGCTTGGGAGAGTAAAGAAAAAGGTTAAAGTCCTGAAAATAAAAAAGAGAGTAGTTGGGGTTGGCCTTTAATCCTAATGCCTGGGAGGCAGACAGATCTCCAGATCTCTGTGAGTTCAAGGTGTGATAGCACACACCTTTAATCCCACCACTTGGGAGGCAGAGATAGGCAAATCTCTGTGAGTTCAAGGACAGCTGGTCTACAGAGTGAGTTCCAAAATGAAGATACACAGAGAACCTGTCTCAAAAAGTCAAAAAGTAAAAATAAAAGAAATAGAGGTTAAAATAAATCCATGTAAAGATAAAAAATACACAGAGAATATTGATACTGTATGTTATTGTGCTCTCTTTGAATTGTTTTAATGCTGAGGAAGGAACAACAGCTACTAAAAGGTATTTGCTTATAAATGCTGCTGAATTAATCCAAGATAGGTATTTTGAAAATACCTTAACATCAAAATTGAAGTAAAAAGGTATGCTACTTTGGAGAAGAGATTTTGCTTTTTTTCCACAGGAAATGAGAGGCTATGAATTCATTCTGAGGTAAGAAAAATCAGGTTTGATCAAGGAAGACCACCTGAGAAATCTCTGGTAGGAACAGATGTCTTGGATGTCTGAGTTCTACATTCAGAACAGATTCAAGACTGCTGCCTGAGATGATCAAGCCTCACAGGATACTCCAGTCAGGACTTGATCAAAATTCAAAATTTTCTTTAGATCCCCATAAGATTATCAGTGCCCCCAAACAGCAGGAAGTAGCCTGGAATACTATGCCCACATTCCCAAAAAATGGACTATGTATATTTTCCTTTGTTTAAAAGGTGGGGGGGGTGGTACAGAACAATTCTGTATTCTATCAATTATGTTTTAAATAAATGCTAATTGGCCAGTAGTCAGGCAGGAAGTATAGGTGGGACAACCAGTCAAGAAATAGAGGTGGGGCAATGGGAACAGGAGAATTCTGGGAAGAAGTAAGCTCTCCCCCCTAGTCTTGTCCAGACATTGAAGAAGCAGGATGTGACCTACCTTGCCAAGAAAGGTACCAAGCCATGTGGCTAACATACACTAGAATAATGGGCCAAGCAGTGTTATAATGAATACAATTTCTGTGTGATTATTTCGGGGCTAAGCTAGCCGGGTAGCCAAGGCAAAAAGCAGGCCCTCGTGTTACAAATAATCATAATAATAACGTCTTTAAAAGATTGTATAGTGACAGAAATAGAAAGATTTAGTGCTTTTGTAACAAACATGCTCAAATTCCTCTTCAAAGTTTAATAAAATGCTTTTTTTAAGGCTGTAATTCCCTATGATATAACACATATAGTAACAATTCAAGATATAGAGAGATAATTTGAGGTGTACTTTATTTTATATTTTGTACTAACAAAACTACTGGATTAAACTAGAATTGTTATTGATATTTATTTCTTTTTGTTTGTTTGTTGGTTTTTCAAGACAGGGTTTCTCTGTGGCTTTGGAGCCTGTCCTGGAACTAGCCCTGTAGACCAGGCTGGTCTCGAACTCACAGAGATCCGCCTGCCTCTGCCTCCCAAGTGCTGGGATTAAAGGCATGCGCCACCATCGCCCGGCTAATATTTATTTCTTAACAACCAACTAAGTTTATGCCACACGTGTGCATGTGCCCTAGAAAGCCAGAATATGACTTTGGATCTTCTGAAACTGAAATTACAGACAGATGTGCCACCCAATGTGGGTTCTGGGAATTGAACTCAGGTCAGCAGTACAAGCCAGCCCCATATCAGCTCATGTTATTAACATGGTTGGTCTTCCCTTTTACAGGTAAGCTGCACATATTACAAAGTAAACTGAAGCACAGAAGGAGAAGGTAGAAAAAGCCAGAGAAGAAAGTCTTTGGTTTGGGTTTCATTTATAGCTTTTGAGGCATGTTTCCACTCTGTAGCTCAGGCTACCCTGGCTAGTTGCCCTGGCTAGTCCTAGACTCATGGTTTTACTCCTTGCCTCAGCCTCCTGAATGCTGGGATGACAGGCATGAGCTACCACACCCAGCATAGGTATGATTTCTTATATCATGTTTAAACACTTCCCAAATTGTAAGGGGATCTAAGTAAATTTTTCGAGATGAAAACCTTTTCAATCTAGATTGCTCATCATCAAACTAAGGTATGTAGGGCAGATGCATTAATTGTAAATGCCACCAAATGTTAATAACAAGTTATAATGACAACAATATTTGGCACAGTGGCAAAAAAAAGAGATTTGCAGGGATATTCTAAATATATCTTTAAGTTTGTTTTTGAGGCCCAGCCACTGAGACACACCAATCTTTGTTCAGGATTGTGTAGATGCTTCATAAGGCTGAATGTTCTGATCTTTTAGCAAAGACTGACCTATTGCAGCTCTTGGAAGCATGAGGCTATGTTGTTTGTTTTGTTTTGTGAACAAAAGGAGTGCTAAATACAGCCAGTTAAAAAGTAGTTAAAGAAAAATAATTGAGCAGATTTATTAACCCTTGTCCTCCCCAGAGGCTATCATTTCTTTTGAATCCTTGTGTATCACCACAGATCAGCAAGATAGAGAACTGAATATTAAATCCAGTCAATCAGCAAGGCCACGTATGTGAATGTGTGAGTGGGAAGTAGGGAGAGAATGGACATCGCTCTGCTTTTCTCCTCATTCCATTACCTGGGCCACAGCTCCACATTGTTAGCATCAGCTCAGGAGTCCTCCCTCCTCCCCAGGGCAAGTGCCAAGTCACAGCTCTGTATGGTGAGCATCAGCTCACAGAGTCCTCCCTCCTCCCTGGGGAAGTGCCAAGCCACAGCTCTGCATTGTGAGCATCAGCTCGGGAGTCCTCCCTCCTTCCCAGGGCAAGTTACAAGCCACAGCTCTACATTGTTAGCATTGGCTCACAGGAGTCCTCCCTCCTCCCCAGGGGACGTGCCAAGCAAGAAACGATTTGTCTCAAATGCTGCCAAGACTGAGCATCTGAAGGCAGGCTCGTATTGCATATCCACAAGGAAGCAGGCTTGGGGCAAGGGCCAGCACCCAAGGAAAGTCCAGGAAGGCTTTCTGACAGTCCCAGTTGGGGATTTTCTCAAAAAGGTTTGTAAGATGCCAAGTTAATCTTGAGGTTTCTTGCTTCACTTCCTTTTATGTCTTTCCTTAAGCAGGTCTTGTCTAAACCTGTCCTCAGGATGTCTTTCTGCCTCCTAGAAACTCCCACCTCTGGGGAGCCTTGGCATCTCTTCCTTCCCTGAAGGCCCTTGAACTACTTGCTGCTGATTTCCACATTTCTCTAGTTGAAAATCTCCCTCCAGGCAGGAATGCAAGCTATGCCCCTCTCCCTTCTGAGTCAGATGGAGATATCGGCCATTTCTCGGCCAAGTAATCTTTTCTGTATCCCCTTTGTTCCAAAAGAACAAACTCCCTGATGAAATGAGGCCCAACTGCCTTGACAATGAACTGCCTAGCAAAGGCCAAGCGAGAGGCTCAGTTGGTGAAAAGCCAGTTTGCAGCCCATTTTGATTTAAAACCAAACCCTGTAAAAGCAGCCAGTCTGTCAAACTGTACCCTTTCTCCGAGTGACTGTCCAGGTGCTGCTGACTACCGAAGCCTGACTTTGCCTCTCAGGCTGCTATAGTAAAATACTGTAGACTAGGTGCCTCAGACAAAAGACTTTCAAGAATTTTCCAATTCTTCACGTTGTAGTTCTGAAATTACTGAACAGTTTCTTTGAGCCACCCCTGTCCCCACAGTGTGCAGAAATGGGAGGAAGCCAGCCACATCCCCAGTACACTGCACTGGGCACCGTCGCTGCTTCCCAAGAGTGGACATCATTCACCACTTCTCTATACCACACTGTGAGTTCATCCTTTGTTCAGTTTCAAACACTGCGTCCCTCACTTGGGCCGAGTGAGGCCTTCCCAGGCTGGCCTTTGATGTGCACGCGTCCGTGAGTGCAGATAGTGACGCACTTCCTTGCTGATCTTTTCCCAGTTTTCTGTCTGTGCCCGAGCAGGCGTGCCCACCTTTCTCACATACCTCACAAAGCTCTCCTGACCTCCAGTGACTGTCCAATCGCAAAGCAACTTCTCCATGGTCAGCTCCCCAGAACGTCCTTCCTCCTGCCAGACATCACCTCCACTTCCAGGCAATGTTCTGTTGGCTGAATGAGAATTTTATTCCTCTTGACACAGCTCCAAATAACAAATAATGATCATTTACCACATGAGACTCTCATCCTTTCCTATCCAGCCTACAAACTCAACTGACTTGGGATTTTGGTTTTTGGGTTGTTTTGTTTTGTTTTGTTTTTGTTTTATACCTGAATGTCACATATGGGTCACCATGTGCATGCCGGTACCTGAGGTCAGAAGAGAGCATCAGAAACACCTGCTAGTTACAGACAATGTGAGCTGATCAATGTGGGCGCTGGAAACCGAGCTTGAGACTCAGGAGCTAAATCCAGGGTCTCTGGAAGAGCGCCACTGTTTACCTTTGTCCTTTGTGTAACGCCAGTCTTAAGTTTCGTTATGTTTGTTTCATGCTTTTCTTCTGGCTCGGAGTCATATAGCCCAGGATGGCCCAGAAATAAAACTGTGTTGCCCAGGCTTGCCTTGACCTTACAATTCTCCTCTCAGGCTCCACAGCGCTCCTGTATATTGACTCCTACCCTCTCCCTGGGCTCCATTACTTTCTTCCTTTTTGGAAGAAAAAAAATTTTGAAAAGGTGATGGCAGCCTCACTCTATCACATGTGTTTAAGTAAAGGCGCCTCTTACATTCCAGATGCTGCTGGAGTTGCTGAGGACACACCAGAAAACAAAACAGATGAGCCCTGTTCTCATGGAGAACAGCGGCGGTGAGCAACTTTAAACGTCTCTGATTTCCAGTAGTGATAATTGCCATGAGGCAAAAGAAAACAGGAGAGGCAGCTGACAGAGACACGGTGCTCAGATGTGACTCTGAGCAGCTGTTGTTTGGAGCTACGACTCCAGGTGACATCACTCAGAGAAGAGAACAAATAAAGGAAAAGTGGAGGACTCCGTTCCCGGGTGGGGTTTTTTGTTTGTTTATTTGTTTTAAATTTAATTTTGTTTCTGAGGATTTCTTACATGAGTGCTGTGTTTGCATAAACTCCCTTCCAAGTCTTCCCAGGCCCCTCGGATTTTCTCTCCAATTCATAACTTCTTCCTTACACACACACTTAAAATACGTGTCACACTCTTAAGGCAGAACAAGTCAGTTCAGCTGGATGTTCCCCCAGCTACCTTCAACTAAACATCTGTATCTTTTCTCCAAGTGACTTCGTGCAGGCTCATGACTTAGTTGACATTTTGTCTCACAACTAGCAAGCCTGTACCCCAGTCACAACCTGTTTTTGGAATTCCAAACTAATGGTGTCTAATAAATTTCTCAATCTTAAAATCTCTAGCATGAAATCTGTGAGACCCTGCACCTGGTCCCGCATGCTTTGTTTTTATTCCTTTAGCAATGGGTAACGTGTTCTAGACTCTGCCTAATTCCACTGCACAGTAGGTCTCTCTTCTCAGTAGCTCCTCCCTAAAGTGCCCCTAAACTCAACAAAACCAAATGAAAAGAAAACCCTGGTGTCAAAGCTCCACCAATGATACTACCACCCACTTAACGCCTGTCTAAAGGAAGAAGCTAAGGTCATACTGCCTTTTCCTTATCCGCCAACTCCTCTTCCTCCAACAGAAGAGTGGAGAGTCTACTTCTCTCGCATCCTCATGTCCAGTTTCATTAGTGCTTTAGTAATCTCAGTCCCTCGCCACACTGTTGGATCCCCCAGCAGTCCCTTTGATGCCGGTCTATGTTTATTTAATTTATTTATATAATCCATCGTTTTATCACTTCTAAACTTCTCTCTGGGAAAATGCAGATTACTTAGCTTATTTCAAAAGTTGTTTTTAGCTCAGAGTCAAGGGAATGGAATGGGGGATAGAGATTCGAGAAAATAATTTTGAACCTTGTTCTCATGAGGAAGAAAGTCAATAAGCAAGTTTAGATTACACAATTTCAAACAGTAATAATCGGCCTGGCAGGAAGTCTCGGCAAGTAAAGGTGCTTGCTACCTAGCCTGGCGACCTGAGATCCCAGGAACCTGCATGGTGGAAGGAGAGCTCTAACCCACCCACCCTCTCTTCCTCCTTCCCTTCCTCCCTGTCTCCTCGCTCCTCTCTCTCCTGTCCCTCAAGTGCGCACCAGGCATGCACATTACACATACGAAAATTTTAACAAAAGGGGGGCGGCTCAAGGGTTAAGAGTACTGGGTGTTCTTGCAGCCCAAGTTCAATTCCCTGTGCCCACATGGCACAGATGCCAGTAACTCCAGTTCAGGGGATCCAATATCCTCCTCTGGCCTGTAGGGGAACAGCATGCTCACGGGGCACAAACACACACGCAGGCAAAGCACCCATACACATGAAGATAAATAATCAAGAAATAGTAATGATTGCCATGAAGAAAAACAAAACAAAAGAGGTGACTGAAGGGGAGGAAATATGGCAAGGTGGCCATGGTTGTCAATTACCTGAATATTTGAAAATAGTAAATGTTCCTCAGGCTAAGAAATAATACATTTTGAATAACAGATATACCAATTGATCGAATCTTCTCATTATGCGTCATATAGTGTGTGTGTATTGGAATGTCGTTAGCATACCCCCAAAAATGCACAATAACTATATGTAAATTTTAAAAGCTATATTAAGATACACATATCTGTCAAATTCACACTCGCTGATTAATGCTTCAGTGTTGGTCTTCTGTTTATTTGTTTGCTTGTTTGGTTTTTGAGACAGGATCTCCCATGACGTAGTTCTGGCTGTCCTGAAAACCACTCTGCTCACAGAGATCCTCATTTTCTGTCTTCCAAGTGTTGGAATTAAGGTGTGCACCACCACGCCTGGCAGAATGCTATGTTCGCTACGTCGGTTACCCTTTGACCAAACACTCTGTTAGCTGGCCCACTGCTCTCTATTCCAGTCATTCTGAATGGCTGGCAGTTTTCTCTACCTCAGCTTGTTTTGTTCTTGTGGGATTTCAAATATATCCTTTATTTGAAGTCTGTGCACTCCATCTACTCCCTTCTTTGAAACTTTACCCCAGCATCTGCTTCGGATAACTTTCTCTGACCTTCCGTCCACTTGAGATAGCCTCCTTGTGACTCCAAGAGCATCTCATGCATGTTCCACTTATAATCATTTATGACACTGACCTCACTTGTCGCCAGACCCTTTCCAGGTTCCTCCCCCATTTCTCTGCCTCACGCAGCAAAGTAACCGGTGTCTTCAACATGGCTATAAACGGGGCCAGTCCCTTATTTCCGCTTTCCCCACATTACAGGCGGAGCATCGCTCACCTTTTTCTTGACACACCTTTTCATGGTTTCTGGATCTTGAGTCTTCTCTTACTGTCCCATCATCTTTGCTGACTGTCTTTAGCCTGCCTTCTAAATTCCAAGCTGTGTGTACTCACTTTCCAAACGTCTAATCAATGTCGTAGTTGTAAAAGCTCCCTGTAGGAATAACAGTTGAGGCTTGGAATACAGATTGGTTGGTAGGGCACTTGCCTATCATGCATGAAGTCTTGGGTTCTAGGCAATAAACCTGTAAACCAGGAGTGGAGACAGGAGGATCAGAAATTCAAGGTAATCCCTGGAATCCTGGTTAGCTTTAACTGTCACCCTGACCTGCTACAGCCAAGAGTTGCCCGAGAAGGAAATCTCCATTGAGGGGTGGCCTAGATCTGATTGGCATGTCCGTGGAGGGCTGTCTTAATTGTTAATGGATAAAAGAAGCCCATCCCACTGTGGTTGCCACCATTTCCTGTGGTCCTGAGATGCGTAAGCTATCTAGTTGCGGATGACCTTGTACAAGCCATCAGCCGCATGGTTCCTTCTACACCATGTGAGTGAGTGCCCTGGTTAAAAGTAATGTTTTCTGGGAGAGCAAGCAGGTCTGCCTTCAGCTTCATGCTTGAACTTTCTGCAATGATGGACAGTAACCATAAGCTGAAACAAACGGTTTTCTCTCCTCAGTTGCTTTTGGTCAAGGTTTTATTACAGCAAAAGAGAGGAAACTTAGAACACTTGGTCATATAGCAAGTCCCGGGCCAACCTGGGCTATGATAATCTCTGCCCCAAGGAATAAGAAAGGGGGGTGGGAGCAGGAAGCGAAGTAGACCACCAAATATATATCTCTAGCCCAAACATCAGATCTGAACTCCAGAGTAGTCCACCACCTAGTCAGTCATACACTAGGGTGTCTGATAGCTTCCTCAATACCATCAGCGACTCTTCCCACTCTGATAATGGCAGTTTCTTCTTACTGATGCTCAAGTCAAAAGCTTAGAACTGTCTTTTCCTCACAGCCCATACTTAATCTATCAGCAAAATGTTTAAGATATGTTTCCAAAGACACCCAGAATCCTACATTCCGTACCACTTTGTCACGCCCTTCCTCTGTCACCTAGATTATTGTAATTATCTTTCCAAGTCTCTCCGCTTGTTTCCTTTCAAACAGGAGGCCTTAAAAACAAGTTGCATCCTGTTTCTTCTCTATTCTGGATCTTCAAATTATTGCCATGCAAGAGATATTACCATGGTTACAAAGTCATACATGATCTAACTCCCCTTCTGCTTCCCTGTACAACTTCTCCTCACAGCCCTCTGCTCCGGCCAGGTCAGCCACACTTGCTGTGCTGTGTCCACCGTGTCCTCTAGAACAGCCTTCCCTGCAGCTATCCACGCCTTGATTCCTGCACGTCCTCTATGCCTCTAGCACTGTCTCAGAGAAGCTTTATCTATCTTCCTGCACAGCTGTCGCTTACTTCTATAACTTTTAGTTCTGTAAAACTTATTTTCTGTCGTATTCCCTTGCAGTGTAAATTTACCAGGATGAGGGCTTTATTGAACTCTCTGAATTAGAATAGTGCAAATATTTCATGAACAGTCAGTAATACATTGTTATATGTATCACGTTATCTGTTTCCTTGTGCATCTCCCTTAATTAGAATCTCTGCTCTTTTAAAGCCAAGTGGTGGTGGTGCACACCT